TAACCACCATATGGGTGGTGCCTTTTTTTTTTTCTTCTTCTTAAAAAGGTACCTATCTCTTCTCTATCCAAAGAAGAGCTGGAGAACTTAATTATCAAGTTGAAAAAAGCAAGTAATGGTGAGCTGACTTAATACTAAAAAGAAGATGTTTTAAATTGAATTGATTAAATATTTTGTTGCTATTTTTGTTGTTAGATATCTGTGAAAATGTGAGACATTCAGCACTAAATGCATCTGAAGTAATTATGATCAAGAGTTAGGCAATCCTCCCGTAGCTAAATTTTACCCAGAAGAATAAACTACATTGAGAGTGATAAAACGCTGATCTTATGTTCATATAGCTAATTTCCTTTCCTTTTCTGTTGTTTCCCGCTCAAATATCACTACAGGTAGCAATACAGCTGTTACAAACATATGATAGATTTATGCTCCCAACAGACCGTTTTGTTAGTGCTACAAATTGAGCTCATGTCTGAATATTGTAATGTGTGTGTTACAAAACCAGAAACTCTGGGTAATTGGAAATGTATACCTCAAAGTTTTGTGTTTGCATGCAGGCCTGGAACTTCACCTTAAGGAACAGATACTGTCCCACCAGGCTTTACAAGAAGCCTTAAATGACCCAAAGAATGGGGAATCTGCTTTCAAACACTTGAAACAACAGGTATGGTCACTGCTTTACTCATAGCTATAGATATTTTTAAACATGTGGAATTCTGCTACTGTAAATTCAGTGACTGCATGCATAATGCTAGTCACTTCATATTAGAGAAAGTCTGATATGCTCTGTAACTCTGTTCTTCAAATAATAGCATATATATAACCTTTGAGTGGCTGCTTTGTTAAGTGCTAGTAACAAAATTTTATTAGAATACTGAAATAACTGACAAATTGTGTGGTGTTCTTACTCATTTTTACTTAGGTATTTTTATTTTTTATTAACTCATAATAAATCTGAGCTTTTACAAAAAGTAAAATGTTGTATTTGCTAAGAAATGAAAGGAATTTTTTACTTTTTCTGTAAGAGCTGGTCCTAGATTTCCTGGCTGTGTAACAGATGCATAAAAAGAGTTGTAGAGCCTGAGTTTACTTTCTGCCTTTTAAATGTATATTGAACAGCAGGAAGGGAGATGGATTGCATATGGCAGCAAAATAGAAAGTTGTGGGAAGAAAAATTTAAAACTGAGAAATGTCTGTTACCTGCACTTTTTTCCCATGATCTACTTTCCTTTTCTATGTATTACAAAATGTGTAACTGCAGCAGAGAGACAGGGCTCTGCAGGCAGTGATGCTTCACAGAAAATCCAGTACAGTACTCATATTTTGCATGGCTACTTTGAGAATCAGCAGAGAAGAATATTATAATGTGTACCTGATCCCAAAAATCAAGTAAAAAAACTTCTGAGTGGAGTTCTGTAAGCAGTGGAAGAAGAGCAGGGTGATGCTGACTAGCCAGAATTTATAATCCCTTTCTTCTGTACACACAAGATCTTTTCCCTAATCCTTCATGGAAGAGAAGACTTGAAAGTCTTTTGCAGTTTGGTGAAGTAATAATTTTTCTGTTGGACATTGCAATACAGAGTGTATATGTTTGCTTGGTTCATAAATAATCTTTTGATATTTGTAGGCTTCTATTTTAGGTAACATGGAAAAATTACATTTACTTGGTCCAGGAAGATGTTTCGTTGAGTTTGGAGCTGGGCGAGGAAAGCTGTCTCATTGGGTTGACGTTGCCTTACAGAATGTTGAGAATGTTCAGTTTTTGCTTGTGGAGAGGGCAACTGCAAGATTCAAGGTAAGAGAGGATATTGTCACATTAACAGAGTATAATTTTGAACTGTAGTCATTGAAGCTGTTAGTATTTGCTTTCTGTCTTCAAAAATAACATAAAGCCTTTAAATTTTAAAAATTTTGTAAGTGCAATTGCCTACATTCCATACTTAGCCAATAGCAAATTTATTAGAAAAAAAATCTTGGTGTATAATGTTGGAAATGTGCAGATGACTTGACAGGAAAAATGTCCAGCATTAATACCTGGAGCAAAAATATAATTATTAGTGGCCAGCCCTACTTAATGATCTTGTTCTGTTTACACAGGTGGATGGAAAACATAAAAGGAGAGATTCTATATTCGAAAGGCTTCAAGTTGATATTCAGCATTTATGTTTAAGTAAGTTCATTCTTGGCTTGTGTAATTCTGAAACAGAGGCTTAATTTTAGATTTTGCATGCTGGAGTTCCAGTCAATTTATATGTAGCATGCTTAAATGTACTTGGTTTTGAAGATTATTCTCAGTAGTGGCTTGGACACATTAATGCTATGTGTGTATATATGTATATACACACATAAATATATTAAATGGAGATTTAAAATTTTCTGCTTTTTATACACTTACAGGTGAGAAATACCAAAACAAAAACATTTTGAAGGTTTTTTTTAGAACTTGCAGGATTAAACACCTTTGCATTTTTGGTTTAGGTGTGCAGAATGAAGCGTATCACACATATCACTGCTATGCTATGCATAACAATACTATAGAACCTGTGGGAACACCTGTCATCAGGATATGCATTAATGTCATATTTACATTTCATAGGCAGTATAGAAAGGCTGAAATAGTTAAATATGCTTCTCGGCCACAGCATCCAAGTCTCTTGATTCGTTTTAGAAAAATAAACTTTCCTTTTAATAGCTTATGTACAGATGACTCTACTTTTAGTAGTGGTAAACATTTCCTTATTTATTTAAGTGTGCTGAAATTATATTATCCAGAAAAAATATTGCTCAGACTATAATAATAGAGGTTCTGGGGTTGTTGTGGATTTTAGGTGTGTGTGTGTATATTTATTTATTTATTTATTCCCCCCTCCAGAGAAGGTACCTATTTTGGAGAAGAAAAAACTCCCAGTGGTAGGAATTGGGAAGCATTTGTGTGGTGCTGCAACAGGTATGAATTATATATGTGTTAACTGCAGGAAGTTAGGATATTAAATCTTACAGTCTGCATCAACTGATCCTCCGAACCATCCTTTTAAGCTTTTCTTGCCCTCTCATCTTGGTGAATGTAGCAATTATATTCTAAATATCTATTGACTTCAGCAAAATAGTAAATGGATAAGAGATGCAAGGCTACTTTAGACAGAAGTAAAACCTTTCTTGGTTTTTATAGAGTAGAACAAAGAATAGTGGGTGGCACCATGGGTCATGGATTTGTAAACTGCTGATTTTTAATTTGTTTTTAAACACGGTCATGTCTACTCTGAAATATTTTTCTTTCTAAATTTGTATTGGCTGTCTGAATATGTATCCCAAGCAAACAATTAGAAGAATGTGTTTCTGTCCTGACAATTTTAAACTAATGTACTTTTTCTAATGTTGTGTGCCTACTAAGTAGAGAAAGACATCTCAAATATGACACCTGTGTAGGTACTGTTACAAAGATGATAAGAGTTAAGCATTTAAGAAGTACATGTACATATTAAATAGATTTGTGTCCTAGATTTCAAACCTCTAGAGCAAATACTTGCATGTTTTACAGGGAGGAGACCCTCCTACAATATGCCAGGTTACAAATCAAAGTATTTAAAATTCACTTATGTAGAACACATAAGCAAGTGGAGAAGCCCTTAGTAGCTCCAGAGGTCTCATAATACTTATTTAGCATTTAGGGTTTCCATATTTTCAAAGCATGCTTGTAATTTTTGTAATTGTTTTTTGGCTTAGTTTGTGATGTATACTTCTGTTCACCTTTGTGGGAAGTATGTTCCCAACCGTGATACAAGCCTGTATAAATACTGGCATGGTGTTCATCGCTAGTTTTTTTTTGGGGGGGTATATCTGTTTTTTCCCAGATCTTGCTTTGAGGTGCTTGGTTGAAAGTTATACAACTTGCTGTGATGAAGAAAATGAAGAGCCTGCACCAAAACGCTCTAGGACTGATAAGACAGAGGTGGCTTCTAACAATTCTGCTGATAATGAAAGCAACAGAGATTGTAAGCCTGTAGCGGGAATTGTTATTGCACTGTGTTGCCATCACAAGTGTGACTGGACACATTATGTAGGCAGAGAGTTCTTTAAATCACTAGGACTTGGACCAGTAGAATTTAATTATTTCCAGAGACTGAGTAGCTGGGCCACTTGTGGCATGCAAGAAACCACAACCAAGGCATCTACAAGTGAAGATCCAACTAATGACACAGAAGAACATGAGCAAACATTCAGCAAGACAGAGAGTGTCTCTGATACTTTACAAGGGTATGTAATTTCTAGCAAATGGACTCCTGCAGAAAAGCAAAACTATGTATAGTGGGATAAGGAATTGTTTTGGGTCCTCAAAATGACTCATTTTACAGAAACATTTTAATTACTAAATTTATAGAAATAGTCTGCTTTAAAAATACAATTTTCCTGGACATACATTTCAAAATATTTAAACAGTCATGCTTGCCTGAATTGAACTTACAATGATTTCAGTAGTTTTTCTAAGCCTAACTACTAATGTTAATTAACAAAACTGTTCTTCTGACACTGCTGTTCACTTTTTTCCTCCTTTTTATGAAACTAGGATACTTACTGTTGAAGAACGAAAGGAGATAGGTTCCCTCTGTAAACGGCTGATTGATCATGGACGGATTGAGTATTTACAACAACGAGGATACAAGGCTGCACTACAGTATTACACAGAGTCTGCTGTGTCCTTGGAGAATGTCCTGTTGACAGCTGTCCCAAGTCCATCTTTGATATCAGAGCCAACTATATGACAGGAGATAGATTTGGAATTGGTAGGGAAAAAAACCTATAAAACTTATCTGGATTTTTTTAAAAACCTTATTAATTGCTTACAAAAAAACTGCTTTAGTCTTTCCCGTACTCAGGAAAAGGTCTTCTCACAAGTTCTCACAAGTGGAAAAATAAAATCCATAAGAATATTTGAAACCTGTTGTGTGCCTCTGCTAGGAAGAAGTATACTTGATATTTTCTTCCATTCACAATTCCATTCTTTATTCATTAGCATTTATGATAGGAGAAGGACCAGAAGTACAACTTTCCAGACTTCCTGAAAGAAAATGGGTTAAAATAAGAAAAATTAACCTTAGGTGTTGATACTTTATTGCTAAAAAGCATTGCCTCCCCTACATCCTTCTTTGGTAGTCCCCATCTGGACAACATCCAAAAATAGGGAAAGTTAGCTTCATGAGACAAACAGTGCTGGAAGAGCCACACATGGTAAACTCTGATTAAATTGCAAATACAAGAGACAGTCATCAATTTGCAGTGACCCAGGCTGTAGGTAACTCAGGCACATTTATTCTAATGTTCCATGGTTCCAGTGTGTTCCTACTAGAATACAGGCTGTTCATGCGATGACCTGCTATGCCAGTTCCTGATAAAAGCACCCCTGCCCTCTGTAAAAATATGGTTACAGATTTTTGGAAAATGTTACTTATTTATTAAGATTATTCATGTTTGATTTGTATACATATAATAGCTTTCTTTTATCCAGTTTATCCTTCCGTTCCTCACTGTATTCCAGAGAGATTAGAATGAGTTAAAAAAGCCATACCTGTTCTCTCAAGTGACTCCTGGATATACAGGTGCATGAATTCAATGCCAAACATTTCCTGTTGCTCTTCCTCTTCTGTATTCTCACATGGAGGGAGTGTTACCTCTAACTCCAGTGGGTTGTCTCTGAAGTTGACAAACCTGACAGTTGACCAGAAAAGGTTACTCTTCCAATAGGTTTTGTCCAGAGAAAACAACTCTTTTGAAGCTGAATTAAGATTCCTCAAATGGTATTATGAGCAAAATAAAGTCTTTTATTACACTAAACTCACCACTATTTAGTATTAGTAGTAATTAGTAGTATTAAGTAAACTAAACTAAGACGACATTTTATAATAACAGTGGCTGATTGTGGTGGGAGAAAACATGGCAGTACTCGTCATTTTGTCTTCAGGTTTTTCACCCCATAGTCAGCCTTACTGAGCTTCCACAGAGGAGTGGATGAGAACAAGAGTGCCACTGCCTGCATTCTCCCAGCTTTGCAAAGCAGCAGCCAGCCTTGTCTCCCTCTGTTCTTGGTCCATCCCTGGGCCTATACTTGGATATGTATTTGTTTAAAGAGGTGCTGCTTCTTCCACAACATCTGAGAACAGGAACTGTCTTACTGGGTTAGATGTGATTTATTTAGACTAGCATTTTTTCTCTAAAATGGCCAGCATCCAGTAATTAAATTGACAATGCAAACAACAGGAAAGTTTCTGTCACACTATACAAAATAATAAATCCAATTCTACCAATTAAAATTGTACATTAATTTTTATTTGTTTTTCAAATCCAGTTCAGGAGTTTCATCCATATCCTTATAACTAATCCTTTTTGTTTAATTCTGAATGCTTGACTTCTCAGTGCCAAAGTTCTACTTTTTCTCATTTTTATGCTTGTCACGTATTTTTCCTTTTAGCTCTCGGCTTTAGAAAGTGATACAAAAAGCCAGTTAAAAGTGGGCATTTGGACCTTTTGGAAAGGAGAAAATGTATTACAATCTCATTTTTCACTTGGGACTGTATTGCTTACTTCTTTAAATGAGTTGTGCTACACAAAGCTTTCTTGACCAGATCCTCAACTGTTGTGAATCTGTGTAATTACGCTGATTTATATGGTATTGGGTCCATCTGTACAACTGTGGACCTGCCTTTTCTTTGCCACTTCCTTAGTATCGCTCTGCTATACAACTCAAGGCAGGCTTTAAAACTTATCTTCTAGTATTTTTATTTCTATTTCTGTTGCATTTTCTTACCTCAGATTTGTCATGTCCTTCATACAAGCTGGAATATCCTTAAGCTTGTTGTTGCTAAGAACAAGAGTACTAAGATTTTTCATATTACCAATGGTTTCTGGCAAAGAGTTGATCTCATTCCTTTGGAGCCATAAAGTGTGGAGATTTTCCATTCTGTAAAATAAGTATTTGCACGATCAATCAGGATTTAGAAAATTAATCTTATTAATTATTAACATAGAGTAATTGATTCATTTTTACAGCCATGTAAAGGATTTTCATGAAGAACACAATTTTCAGAAGAAATCCCCTATCCAAGATAATCGCCTAACCTCTGGTCAAAAACGTCATTGGCAAGAAATATTTAATTTATTGTTTATTGAATGGATTATTCCAGCTCATCCAAAATATCACATTAGGGCTGATGAATATTAAGTTTTCAGTGAGGCTAACATTAAAATAATCTTTTGAAGTGGGATTTAATAATTAGAATTTCAATGTAATGGAACTGAGACTAAGATGTGAGCTTTGAGGTTTAATTACCTGTCAATTGCATCGGGAAGCTCCTGGAGTTTATTTCCCCCCATATCTAACCATTCTAGATTGGGCATGTTGAGAAGAGCTGAAGGGATGGTAGTAAACTGATTCATGCACAAATCTATGTGTGAAAGCTTCTTTAAATCACTAAGCTGAAAAGAAACAGAGATTTAATGCAAGTTTGTATAGCTGTTCCATTACAGCAGTGCTGTAATAAAGCTGACTGAAAAAAAATAAACAATTTAAAGAGGTGACAACACATTTTGGAGTTAGTAAACACAGAATGGTTTCTGAATTACATTAACTGATACTACCTAACAATTACAGTTCCTGCCTGGAAGGTAGGTAGGTGAAACTTGTCAGGCAGAAGAACTTTATCTCCCACCTGGTAGTGAGTACCCTAACTGCTGAAAAGCTGAATGCCATGACTGCAACACAGATACACCCCAAGCCTTGAGAAGAAAAGGAATTCTAAAGGCACAACTGTCCTTAGTATTTCATACTTCATGCAACATGCCATTTTTCATTAGTCAAATATTTAGATTTCTATGGAACAAATTGCATGGACTGTATTTTAGAGTGAACCTAGACACCTTCCATACTGTGAAGTCTACTACTGTGGCAAGACATTCTGAAAATTAAACGTATCATTCAGTATTGCAACACCTAAGTCCTCTGGTGAATTCTGCCTTCAGGTGCTTTTACAATGTTCAACTGATGCAAAGATGTTTTATTGCAAGTCTGGTCCAACTGTCTAAACACCGAATGCCACTCAAGTATATATAACCAAAGCTTCACGGTGTTCACATCATCATAGTCTCAATAGGGCAGAACTATGTATTTGATATGAGCTGTTAATTTAATAGCTCTCAACCTACATTACACTGTGTAACCTGTATCCACACAGATTTTGTAAATTCTGGATTCTGATTAATAGTGTATATTTTCATTTGGAGATTTCTTGTTAGATATTACTGTTTGGAATCACTCAACTTTGCAGGCACTGACTGCTGTCAACTATTTTCACTATTGTTTTTTAAAATAAATTCAAACAAGTAAATATGGTTAAATACTTGTAATCTCTATATAAGAGACTAATACTTAGAGATGGGGGTCTGTCATGTTTTGGTCAGCCCAAGTTAAGGCTCAGTAGTAAGTGAGCAGTTGTGCAGTTGTTTTTTTCTCTCTTAATTGCTCTCACAATCTCAGAACAACATTTGTTCAACTCTTTGTGCAGAGGCAGTGGCATAAATCACACAAACACATTCCATAGCTAGCAGCTCTGGTAGAGATGCTTACAGTTGTGTCTTGGCATATCGTATGAAATTCAACTATAAAAGGCAACTCTGTGCTAAGGCATCAGATCCTCAGTGGGGTAAATCAGTGAAGACCTTCAGCCTAAACAAATTAACATCAAGTGTATCACTGTCCTATATGCACTACCACATCATTTATCTGGACAAAATAAAGATATATACAGCTATACTCGGGAATATACATGTCCTCATATGGCTTCAGTGTGACAAGTCATATAAATATTATTCACCTGTGTTTCTGTGGAGTAGTTGTGAAATCAGAGTATCAAAGCAAATCTGAAAACATTGAGTGCAACATTTAATAATTGGTTTTGGATAAATTCAGAATATGCATTAAACAAAACAAAACAAAACAGTCTATCAAAACCTGAGGAGGAAGATCACAGATACTCCTGTTGACAGCCAGTTCCAATCTTTCCAGACTGACACAGTTACTTATTTCTTTAGGAACAGACTTTATTCTATTGTAGCTGAGAAGTAGCTCTTGGAGTCTAGTCAGCTGGCCTGCAGAGATCACAAATGAGAAATTCTAAATGTTCACATTCATTCTATTTGAAATACACTATTACTTGTTTTGGTTTATGCTGTTATACAAGTGCTCTGTGTTCTCACGAAAAAAAAAAAAAAGATTCACTGAAATTCAAATAGTAGGTCTTCAAGACTCTTTAGTACAGAATACACTCTTAATTGAGCGCTAATAAAACCCAATCAAACAAAAAAACACCCATGCAAAAAAACCTTATGGACATAGGCTGCTCATGCTGTGGACTCACACCATGAAGCCTGTTTTTCAACATCACTTTTCTAGCTGCATTCTGATGTCTAGTATCTACTGTGCATACAAGCTTTTTTCTCATGGAGAGCTTTCATGAAGATATGTCTCCTCCATCTGGCCACTTTTTTTCATTTATATGGAATCCATGGTTTTAAGACCTCTGTCTCAGTGTCAGATTTAAATCATCTGTTTTCTAACTACCCAATAGGATTGTTAGATGGGCAAAGTACACAGAAATACCATGTTTGTATAAGAGTAATTTTCTTAGAAAAGCAGCTTAAAATAAAAGAAAGCACAGCTCACCAATTTCTTTAGGTACACTTTCAATTGAGTTCCGGGATAGGTCCAGAACAACAAGATTGTGAAATCTTCCAATGAACTGAGGAATTTTCTGCAAACTAGTTCTGTGAAGCTGCCATTCCTGGAGATGGACTAGTTTCAGTAAGCACGAAGGTAGTGTCTAAGACAAGAAATACAAACCAGAAGAAATTCAGCTTAGTATACAACAAGAATACAGGTTTAGGTAGAAGTTTTATTGGAAGCAGTAACAGTGTTGTGATTAAAAAAAAAAAAAATCTTTCCTTCTTCTCAAATTATACTGTAACATCCTGAAATGAACACCATCCATCTGGGTCATTCTGACCACAGATATACCCTGCCTACTTTTTGCTGCTGTGATTTAGATATCTGTACTAGCGTCATTGCTTGAAAAGCTTCGGGTTTGCTTTTGTTTGTTTTGTTTTTTGTTTTTTTTTTAAACAAAGCCACTATAACTGAAGATGAAACTGCTCCAAATAGCTTTTTTGCATTAAATGGTGATCTAAATGGTATTTCCTGATCTGTTAAGAAAAACAGAGAGCAGAAGAGCTGAGGGACGGGAAACCTACAGTGTCTGTATGCTATGAGTTCTGAAAAAGGAACACCGGCCTATGGACCACTAGAGTATTGCTGGGTGTGGCTCTAACTCTCTCACTGGCCTCAACATGGTCTAATTCTCATCACTTCATAGGAACTTGGCATCTGCGTTTCTGTGTGGCTGAGAACAGACTGTCAGCTTCCGCTCTGTCCCTGATTCTACAGTTATCTGCTTCCCCCTATGCATTAGAAACAAGAACAATAGTATTCTGGGAATCTACTGGCTCATTTCCACTCTTAGAAAGTAAACAACAGTAAGAAATATTTTCATGCACCTAAACACAGAAGATTTTCACCTTGAAACATTTCAGTAGTTCTAGTGTTTTAATGGTAAATGAGGATTTACATAATTAAACTCATAATTTGCAGTGTAAATAATTTCGAATGCAGAAAAGCCTTTTGGGCTATATTTTTGCAGAGAAGTGCTTAATATTCAGGATTAAAAAAAAACAGCTTGCTTTTACACTCTCACAACAGTGTGTCTCAATTCATTGTTAGCAAAGTACACAGTGAGCACTCCACAGATTAAAAATAGTACAACTGTGACTGTAAAGTTGTAAATAGTAGTTTTCTAATGCATCAGTTATTCCACCCAAGCACCATTCATTCCTATCAACACTACCTTCCATTCTTCTTCCTCTATCCTTAAAATTGCTCTTCCATCTTCATGAATAACTTTTTCTTTGAGCTTTGCTAAAGCAGCTCTCTCCTCCCAGACAAGTAGCAGCCTACAAGGGAAAGAAGATCTGTCAGTGATGCAACAATGAGCAGAGGCAATAATTACTTTCCATCTATTTTCTGGAACAAAGAGACAGTAGCCTTTTTGGATGTCAAACATTTATTAGATCTGGATGCCAAATATACTATCAATTTGAGGGAAGACAAGACCATAAAGTAATGTTTAGCTGAGGTAATTTATAGGAATTCTGTTTTACAGTTCTTCAAATTTACAATCAGAAGGGAGGCATAACTTCATTCACTTTCAGCAGGGCAACAGAATATAAAATCATGTGAAATTAAGTTCCAAAGCCATTAATTTTGAAGCAGTCTCCTAAAAATAAAGCCTTCAGTTCCACGAAATGTAAGCACAATCAAACAAGGTCAACTGGCTAGGGATTCTTTTAGCTTGGTTTCCAAAGGGAACTTAAGTTTAAGAATTATAAAAATTAAGCTAATTTTCTTTCTGTTTGTATTTTCCATTAGTAACTTTTGAATTTGATATTCCATTTCAAACACATCTGACAAATTAGGAAGAGTTTCAAAAATAGAATCCTAAATTTCTTCACATTTCATGAAATTGCTGGCCAGACCAGGTGACTCTGTTAATGCCTCCACTGAGATGGCAGCATAACAAATTAAATCTCCCCTGGTTAGAATATCCACACAGGATAGAATTTTAGTATCTGAATTTAGTATATATGCTAATAGTTTTATCATAAAACACAGTTCTTCATTTGACCTGTCCCTATTGCTAGACTCTAACCAGTGGGAATTCTGCTGGAGTAATGACTAAAGAATTAGACTCTGGATGAGTTTGAAAAGATCTATTATAGTCTTCTGAAAAGTAACATATGGTCTAGCTTTTCACCTACTTAAAGATGTACAATTTACCTACCTTCCTGCAGACCTCTCTCTGAATTCCTTTTCTTTCTGTAATTCTTCATTTATCTTGTGGATTCTCACTTCCCAAAGTGTCTTCACAGCAGTGAATGTTCCCACGCAAACTGCAGTTTCTGCCATGATCCTTACATGTTCACATTCCGTCACAGGAATCCGACTGGGAATTTCAGGCTAAATGCATCAGCACATGTATCAGCTACCAGATGGGGACAATGACGTTAAAACTAAAATACTGCAATACACACTTGGTTATATTATTAAATTTAGCTTGTGTATAGAACCGACAGAATTTTACCAACTGCTTTCTCTTTATAAAAATATACAATTGCACTTCATTAAATTCTCTTGTAATAAGAAATTGTATTCTTGTATTTGTGTTCAAACTGTCAATCATTCTATTTTATGTTTACCATGTCTTTTGCTAACATAGTTATTTGTAAAGCCTGATTATACTGAAATAAATTAAAAATGTATAGGCAAATAATAAGAAAGGTAAATTGTCAGGATTGCTGCGTTGTAAAAATCAAATTATGATGCTTGAATAAAGAAGAATCTGGTCCAGTACATTAATATCAAGGATTCTTAACTGTTCTCTGTTAAGGAAAAATGGCAGCATTTAACAGGCGATGCAAATGGCAACTACAGTGTGGCACCACGCATTCTGGCATTTGGGTTCCTAAAGGGGGACTGAATTTTTTCCTGTAAAGAGAGGATTGTACCCTCATTCCCTCCCCCACATAAATGTGATCAGATTTACTAGTTTAAACGATTAATATCTCTTTCAGTGGTCCTCATAGTAATTACCTTTCCCATTCCTCACTCCAATATGCAACAGTAATGACTAAGATACTGTATGAAGCTTTTTGCTCTGATTAGTGCTTACAACTTAATTTGCCTTCTTTTTCAGGATTAAACTTCTACTGAGATTAAGTGATTCACCCGATCTATCATTTCTTGTTGTTTAAAGACATATTTTGAACTATAAGCCTTTTTAGATAGAAAACTATAAATATTTTATACAAATTGTGCAGAAAATGAGACATTATGGTGCAAATCTCTAAAGAGATGTTTGTTAATACTTGTACCACTTAAACCACTATCGGACTATAAAGTCAAAACAATACTTATTTTTAGTAAAGCCTACACTGGGCAACTCTCCTTTGCTGTGGAAAGCGTATTATTCAACAGACATTGCTTTAGAACCATGAAGTATAAGAGAGGGCCTAAGTATATGACTTTTTCTTTTCAAGAAGATTTAATTATATTATAACAGGACTACAATCAAAAGTATTTCGTTCTTAGTTCTTATTACTTGTCAGAAAAATAAAAAACATAATAATCATGCCATCACAGCTAACAATTCAGAAGTGGATTCCCAAGCGCAGCTGTAAAACAACTGCAAATTTACTTGCAAGTAATCAGATCTCCCAACGACTTCACCTCCAAGCATCTGAAAAAGTTTAATAACAACTTACCTCAATTATTTGATGTTTTCAAGGATTTTCTGTGACTCATTGCTTTCTGGGCAAGAGCAGAGATAAATTATGAAACTTGCTCGTACTACCAAAACCATTTAGAACTCTCAGACTCCAATGCAATGTCAGTCTAGTTCTAATTTTAACCTGGGCCCAGAATAGAAGGTATCACATGAGGCACTTCTGCAAAACCCCCAAGCATTTACCACTCTTGAAGTCTTCCCAGTTTGCTGAACGTGACTGGATTCCCATAAACCCTGGACTCCCATTAACAGAAGTTACAAATTGTGAACAAAAAGAACAAAGGAGTACTTGCCATGCTCCACAATGAAAAATAAGCTAGTTTTGAATTAAAAATGGCAATTACTTGCTTTACTCTAGTAATGTTTCTCTGCAAGGTAGCTGAGCTTCAAAGTGCTATCAAACAGCAACATTGACTAATTAAACTAATTACATCACCAATAATTTTACTCATTACTTTTGCCCATGCTGAGGAAGTATCTTTTTGAAGAATTTTAGTGCAAATTATCAAAGTCCACACAGAAAAGTAACCTTCATCGGGATGTACAGAGGGGCTATTACCCCTTTTCGCACTTGCAATCGTGAAATTTTTTTAACATTCTATTTCTTCAAAGAGCCTTTGGAGAAGATAAAAGGGGAACAACTGTCAGAATCTTTTTCTTCAATAATCACAGGTTACTATTTGAGGCAGAAGCCATAAAACTGGATAATTCTAAGCAATTCTTGCACTGGAGTATAAAATGTGAAGATGAAATTTCAAAAATATAATTCATTTGGTTATAACCCTCTTTCAGTAGAAATAATTTTTCCTTATTATTAGCCTTACATTCTAGCATTACCACATAGAACTTTATAACCAAAAAAACTCTCTCCAGTCCATGACCAACTAACTATCTGAACACTAATATCTAAAAAAGACACTAACTGCTTTAGCTTTCAAAGCTTTCAACCGTTGAAGCTTTAAAAAAAAAAAAAAAAAAATTAAAAACCAAAAAAGAAATGATCCAACAGGTTCTTTGGCATAGGTATTGCTTCTTTCAGTTTTGGTATAGATTCAGTCCCCACACTGTTTTTTAATCACTGTTTTTTCTTGATCTGAAAACATCATAACTAAAAAGCTAACTACTTAATTTCCTCCTCCTTAAACGAGACAGATAATTAGAGCTCAGAAAAAAAAAATAACCTTCCCTTTTATTGGAGTTTTTAGAGACAAAGAAATTTCACGCTCCTTGTGTGAGTAAAATTATTCTATCTATCTCAAGTATTTCAAAAGCACTTTATTGCTTTCTATCATACACTTATATTTCCTCAATTTATTTTCTCCCTGGTCATCAGATTTAAAGATATACTATTCAAACTAAGTCCTTACCAAAACAATATACTTGTAGGAAATAAGCCATTAGGCCGTGTTCTTTTTGTAATCTTGGGTGCAGTAGGTTTTTTAAGATAGGAAGAAATAGAAGTTCAAATCACCTGTACAGGATTGCCTGCATAAAATTCACAAATAAAAACAATATTACTGCAGTTCTTTGTGGCTTCATTTTTTTTATTAGGAATAAATAAATCTGATAAAAATGAAATAGGTGATAAGCACAATGTATTAGTCAAACCTGGCAAGAAATCACCTATATATAAAGACCCTTATACCACAATAGAAATATAAATAGCACCTTACATGTATGCTCCCATGCTCCCTCCTGTACATTACCAACTCTGCTCTTGCTCAGTCTCAGCATCAGGATAGAAGAGATGCTACCTCTGGTAGTTTGTGTCTTGCATCTTCACAGCTAAATGCAATTGACAACTTTTGTCTACAATTTTGGCAAACGCTCCTGTAGAGGCCATTTTTGATATATCTAAAGAAAGGAGAAAATGTCCATTTTATGCCTCACAAATTAATTTTTTAGGCCATGTAACTGTCTTTTATTGTGTCTGTTTGCAACTTATGTTTCTAGAAGGTATTTATATCTAATGGTTTTCTTTATATCTCCTGTTAAATAACCAGTGCAATCCTCATCATCTGTTTAGTTTACCTTAAAGCCACATAACTGTTGTCTGTTCTGAAGGCATTAACTTGAACCTATTCTTTATGTGCCTTTTATCTGAGTTTGAAAATCCTTATATCACATAGTATTTTTTTAAATATTAATTCTTTTTTGTATCTGATTAATTCCAGTATCTGAACATCAATAATAAAAGGTGATGCAAGCTTTCAGAACACATTCTGCTTACTGTCTGGCTTACCTAATGACAGAATAACAAATGAAATCCTCTTTTTTTTTTTTAACAGACAGATGCTTTCTGTAAGAAACAAAAATAACTGGAAAGTAGTTAAGGACTGCAAGTACTTCCAGCCTACAAAAATACAGGATATTCTAGAGAGTATTAAGGCCCTGATAGTTATCAATAAATGTTATCAGTAAGTATTTGAATAAATACGGCCTCTTCATTTATAATTTGATAAAATGTACCTGTGCAAGTAATTACCAGGAAAAAGTGGATTAGCAAACGACTTGAGAGGTTTACTCAGTTAAACAACAAAAAGCTCTCTGGACATTTTACAGCAGAAGCGTAAAAGGCATTTTATTTATATATTATTTTTGCATAATTTCTTTTGGAAATTTGGATATTATTTGTTAAAATAAATGTACGTGTCCAACAAGGAAGAATTATGAGTATTTCCCTTCAAAACAGGTTAATGAGATTATAAATACTGCAGGTGTAGATCACTGTCATTCATTTACACCAGCCTCACAACCATATGCATTGTAAAAGGCAAAATAAAGACATTCCATCACCAGAAGTTGCACCATGATCGACAAAGTTTGACAGTCTGCTGTAGAATACATTACAGCACTGCTAATTAAAAAAGTAACAACTGATTGATAAACTGCTATCAGCTGTTAAGAACTTTTAACCACATAAAATTATTATATAATGTGAGTAGCAAAGGGCACGTGCTCGCAGAGCCAGCTTTTATAATCATTCCGTCTAATCCACAAAACCTAAAGGCATATTCTAGCCATGGTTTCCTTTATTTAAGGTCTAGCAGCATCGAAGCAGGGTTTTCCAAGTAAGATTTCCACAAGTTAGAAAACCGGGCCATTGTAGCTCCATCAATGATGCGGTGATCAGCTGACCAACTCACATTCATTATCTGTGCTTTAAATACTTCACCTTTTCTATTAAACCGAGGAAGAACCTAAAAATCAGAGGAAGGAAAAAACCAGAACTACTAAATACTTGCATTAACAAATCTGTATTTTTTAATTGTTTATTTGTTAATCTAAATGTAAACATTTTGCTAAATTAGACAGACAGCAGTAGTGCCATTCAAAAAAACAAAGACCTTCCCATCATTGTTTGTGCTGCAGATTAGAATATATTGCAAATCTACAAAATAAACAGGTCATCTCCTGTTTCCACCATCACGGAAACACTGAAGCAGTGAAAAGCTTTCTTGGCTCAAAAGGTTCTTTCTGAATAGTTTATTGCACTGTTAGTGCTCAAAGTGACAGCCTCCTTGAAGCATTCCCCAAACAAAAGGCTAACAGGAAGAACACAGAAAAAGTATTTTAAGTAAAAACTGATTTCATTTCCAGCACTGATGTCAAATGTCTGTAT